CTTGTCTTCTGTCGTTACATAACTACATTATAGACAAGATTTTATTTTGATAAATCACACAGTGTTATACAGTAATATTAACTGTGTGAGTGACTTGATATGATTATGAGCAGTAGTGTGTGCTCGAAACGTCATCAGTTAACATTACTGTATAACATTGTGTGATTTATCAAAATAAAATCTTATGAATTATTTGTGTTGAAGACTAGTGCTTCAATATTTGGTTGGTGAAAGTTGTAGATTGGGAAGAACTTGCTTCATGCAAAAGTATACCCATCGCTCGAATGAACTGAGATATTTATTAACAATAGACTGCATTGTTCAGCTAAACATTTATAAAATCTATGATTCTTATTAGTGGTAGTTTGGTCTTCTAAAGCAGTAAAATTAAGGTTGTATAGGAAGATTGAGTTTTATATGAGGAAACGATTTTCTCTACTTTTCTGTTATGCTCAAATGGCTTGCCCTACGAAGAGAAATAAATATATCAGTCGTGACACGGGACCTAAATTTCGTTTTACTTGATGCACACCAGTAATGCGAATCTGCAGGCTTGGGGAAACCCATGCTTCAACCATGACTTAGTGACGAAGACACAGACAGTAAGGAAACCTGGATCTGGAGAAAGATTCCTGCAGGGAGATAATTTACAGAATGTTTGTTTTGACTTCCTAGTGATTACACACGTTTTCAGTGGGAACATGAAGAATGAGTGTGAAGGAACACATAATGAGGTTTAATGTCTCAGCTGTCAATGCAACTCCGAGTTCACATCATTTTGTCAGTGTTCTGATTACTTTGAGTAACATAAGTAGTGGTTGTGTGACGATGTGAATTATGATTACTTGTGTTTGACACGTAGTTTGTTTTCATTTGAACGTTTTGTGGGTGAAGACAACAACATTTGCAGCATATGCAAGTATTGTTAACTGGATAATTGTTAGTGTGATGGATGCTTATTGTGTTTAGTCGACACGTTCCATGACCTATATAGGGGTCATTAAAGTGGTGAAGGTATGACTTGTTCATCAGTATTGCATGAGAACTAAATGTCACAGTGCATGAAGTCGATGGAAACGTGACATTTGATTTTTGCATGTGTACGAGGTCTCACAGACAAATATCTCAACGCACATTATGAATGACTCACAGGATAAATGTCATATACATCTTAGGATACCATATGCATGGGTAGATGTTCACTGTTGATAAAGAATACCACACTGATTTTCATGTCTGAATGAGAGTTTCGTGTGGTGTTTAGGAATCATGATGTTTGAACAGCGTCATTCGATATTGACTGTGAGGAAGCTAGTGATACTCGAAAGTATTCAGTTCTATTTGGAAGTGTAAACTACTTGACATCTTCAATCTCGCTAATTTCTCTCATTCATTACATATGCATTGCGAATTATGGTGAGGTTCTCTTGAAGATCGGTCACAATTTCCTTTCGAATTTAAGTACTGAATAGGCATATACTCTGAAGCTTTGTGTAAACTTCCACTATAATGTAACAGATCGGTTCAGTTCATATCAATAACGATGACAGCAGATAACTGTCCACATTGACTAAATCTTGCCTCTGGTGAAAAACTGGTAGTATTAGTGAGTCGGTGAATTGTTGGTAGAAACGTCATGTGTTAGACCTTGTAAATAAGGTGTCTTCACCGAAGCCAGTTTGACTGTCAATAGCAAGTGACCGATAGGGAGTTTATTTAATTTGGTCAACTGCTTGTGTCATGATTATTTACTGTCATCCATATAATGACACTAGTGCACCATAAGGTGTATAATGGCATATGCGAATTTGAAAGAATTATCCTTTCCAATGTGTTTAATTACTTTAATCATTATAATAAGGTAACATTTTTTTCAAATTATGTTACTGTTTTATGCACATTTGAGTCCGACGTATACTGACCCTCCTTTGACTGCTGTAGTCTTTTCTATATGACTATTTACGTTGGTCTATATTCATCCTTGAAATGTTCTCAACACGTGATTTGTGTGTTCATCAGCAAGTTTCTTTCGATAAGTTAGACAGTTCGTTACATTATAAAGAGCTGTATGATCTATCGTAAGAATGCTAAATGATTGTAAATATGATCGTTGTATCGTTATTCACTGTTCACATTCCGATGGCTGTATGTGGCGAAATTATGAACACTGAAATTGGGGACTGGAATGTTGTGCACATTAACTTCATTCCTAACATTTATCAACAAAAATTTTCACTTTTATTTAATACACAATAGAAATCGCAATTGCGATGTCATATTCGCTAGCATGAAAAACATATCACTATGGCATATTATTTTGTTATTGAATTGCACTAATAACATATCTATTCATGGTATAATATATAAAAAATTTAAGAAGCGGAATTTTATTTCAAGTAAAATCAATCGATAATGACATATGCATAAATGGCCTGGAGTCTTTACAAACACGATTTTCAAGCAGAAAATTACTGATAATTGTGAGTGTGATAGTTATGCACATTAGAAGAACATTTGCATTTGCACCTCTTTTTACTCATTTTTGTGTTCATAATTATACTAATTATGAAACAAACAGTAGTATAACACCATTGTCAGAAATTATATTTACAGGGTTTAATACAAGCAGTCATGCATCAATCGTCCAAATGAAAACAAACTACGTGTCAAACACAAGTAATCATAGTTCACATCGTCACACAACCACTACTTATGTTACTCAAAGTAATCAGAACACTGACAAAATGATGTGAACTCGGAGTTGCATTGACAGCTGAGACATTAAACCTCATTATGTGTTCCTTCACACTCATTCTTCATGTTCCCACTGAAAACGTGTGTAATCACTAGGAAGTCAAAACAAACATTCTGTAAATTATCTCCCTGCAGGAATCTTTCTCCAGATCCAGGTTTCCTTACTGTCTGTGTCTTCGTCACTAAGTCATGGTTGAAGCATGGGTTTCCCCAAGCCTGCAGATTCGCATTACTGGTGTGCATCAAGTAAAACGAAATTTAGGTCCCGTGTCACGACTGATATATTTATTTCTCTTCGTAGGGCAAGCCATTTGAGCATAACAGAAAAGTAGAGAAAATCGTTTCCTCATATAAAACTCAATCTTCCTATACAACCTTAATTTTACTGCTTTAGAAGACCAAACTACCACTAATAAGAATCATAGATTTTATAAATGTTTAGCTGAACAATGCAGTCTATTGTTAATAAATATCTCAGTTCATTCGAGCGATGGGTATACTTTTGCATGAAGCAAGTTCTTCCCAATCTACAACTTTCACCAACCAAATATTGAAGCACTAGTCTTCAACACAAATAATTCATAAGATTTTATTTTGATAAATCACACAATGTTATACAGTAATGTTAACTGATGACGTTTCGAGCACACACTACTGCTCATAATCATATCAAGTCACTCACACAGTTAATATTACTGTATAACACTGTGTGATTTATCAAAATAAAATCTTGTCTATAATGTAGTTATACTCTACTACAGTGCCCAATTTTTATACTTGAAATAAACAATTCATTTTTAGATTTACCACTTTAAATCAATATCAAAATCATGTGCTTCTAATATGTACTGCCTAGGATGTCAGTGATATTAATTGCAATATATTTTGAAATGAGGTCACTGCAACTAGTGTAAGTGACCTTAAAAATAATATTAGTGAAAATAGAAGTTCTATTTTGAGAAAACTGAGTTTCATTTGTAAAAATCAATTAAAAGCTGTAATTTGCGTCAATTTACAATCACAATAGCTCCATATCTTTCTCTTGTGTTGCTTTGCTTTCTCTACACCTAGTCTCAATTAACTGAATATCTTACTAATAATTGCACAGTGCACCACTTAAAGTGTTGGCAAAATAAGGGAGACAATCAAGTTTCTTATACTGTACATTTTAATAGCTTTAACTTATAAAATTATGTAATGGACTGTCCCATAGTCTGGAAGATGATAATGAGTGAATTCAGTTCTACGATTGTCAACGACTTTGAGCTCAACTTACAAGATTCTTGGGCACGACTACTGTAAAATTTACATTTTTCAGCCGACTCATTCCATGCCACCTTTTTTGTCTTAACGTGTCTGACTCAAAATTAATTCGGATAACATTCCTCATCGATAAAGGCCGTGTATTTTCATATCTCCTTCACCTCTTAGCCACATCAAATATTGAACATTTGTAATCTCAGTAAACGAATTGTCATCCTTCTCCATCACGAAATTAAGACTTAAAATTCTTTCAAAGTTGTCTTACGTAATATATGTATGGATGCGCTTTTGATCAGTTGACTCAGACCTGTTAGTTCGTAACTTCAGTTGCTATGCTCCAACGCAGTTAAATAGAAGTGAATGGACTACTGCCGGATATGCATACCGCCTGTTAGGTAGATCTGTAGAATGCCTAAACTAATAAAGCTACTGTTGAAGTTGGCACACATGATAAAATCTTACATAAATGTTAATGGAAGAAGACTAATAGACGAAGACGTACGAGAGACGTGGAGAGATAATAAGTATAAGAGGACTTTGAGAAACTTGCTGAAAATATGAAATGAATACGTATTCGTGACTGCAAACGATCTTTAGCCATTTCATTATTAACCTGCAACCATTGTTTCTTAGCATAGTGGAGATTCCAGCCAGGCAGCTTACACATTCTTACGCGGTTTAAACTGGCATTCAAAGACTTCGGGCACTGGTGCCGTACTTGGATTTGACCATCCATAGGCCCTATGGAATCTAATCATACATCAGTTAACATTGCTTGCATAGGAAGGTGGCATCCTGGAAACATCACAATAGAGCACAACCCGTGATCACTGATGTGTGAATTTGTATCTTGTAGCTCTGATAGTAGAGCTCTGGTCCAGTATTCCGACTACTACTGTTTCCATTTCACACTTTATTATCCCTCATTAGGTTGATATTTTTTTCTGAGAAAAATAAAGAAATAAAAAGTTAATAGGGGCTTCTTATTGTTTATTTAAAAGCTAGTTGTATACATTATACATATGTATATAAATATATGTATAGCTAGGAAATGTATTCATGAAAACATTTTTTGTTTTCTTCGGATAATGTCTCTTGCTCTCTTCTTTCTCGTCCTCGCTTCATAATAGGCTTTACTTAATATTTACAAAGTTGTTATACAAGTAAGAAAATGTTTATATATGTCTGTGTTGCAGAATATTTCTCAACATGAATTTTTATATTTTAGGGAACAGTTGTCCGGTTGGAACTTAGGAGTTATTTTAGGTTTACCATCTTCTATTTCACCAGTGGATAGATTTGTTTGATTTTTTAAATTTTCTTCCTGTAATTTTCTCAATTTATATTCAATCGTTTCTTGCTTAATTGCATCACACATCGTTCCTCTGAGGTGTGCCGGAATTTCAAGTTTATTATGCATTTTACAACTTTCTTCAGAAGCATAATGTTTGTAACGAAACTTCCTATCTTGACTGAAATTCTTTTCTACACCTTCAAATGGTTGGAATGTGTACCAGGGGACTGTTTCAATAATTTGGGTGAATAACTAAAATGAAAAATTTTCAAAAATGTCAACACCTAATTTTTTGTAAATTTACTTAATGAAAAAACAACAAGAAGCAATAATATTTCATAGTGTAAGACAGTGGATTAGCATTTTGTTGTATAAGGTTTGTACTTCTGTCCTATTTATCAGTTGTGGGTATGATTGAACATCTAAGTTTGCTCATAGATGCCTTAGCTCAGTTTCTCTTATTAAGTGCACAGTATTATATGTAGGGCTTTGAGTGTTAGATAAGGAAGGTGAGTCTGTTGGTTAGGTTATGAAGCAATATAAACTGAGTAGTATACAACCTCTGCTGCTTGTGTTTAGCCGTCGTCTTCCTTGATGAGCATTACTGAGCGAAGCAGGACAAATTACGAATCACTAAAGTTACTGACTGATGGCTAAGTTGATACATGAGCTTATGAATCCTGAAGAACTGTGCTGTAATTTTTATCAGGCATGGCACTTCAGTTTTTACCCCGGAAAACAGTCTGCTTCGAAATAGAATTAGGTTGGAATTAGTTAACCATAGTCAGCTTAAAAAATATCAATAACTCATGAAGTCTTAGTCATATATTTTATTTTTATTTTTGATTACAGCATGATTACAGACTGTATTTTTGGTACATGTATGGAATTTTCAGCGTGGATATCGGTATTGATTGATATGAACAATAAATTGTGTTCGAAACGTCATCCAGTAATTAATACTGTTTCACTGTGTGATACATCTAACAAACAAACTAATATGGAATGGATATCGGTGCCCTAAATTTTGCAGGCCAACCATAGATATCAGGTGTGCGTCGGCAGGGGATCGAGCCTTGGACCATGTGCATGGTCGGCGAGAGTCTTAACCACTGTGCCACCGACGCACATATAGCTACTCGAATAGTTTTAATGAATTCTGCGGATATATTAAAGATAGAATATGTTACCAATTTATGTTTGTGGATAAACTGCTAACTGCAAACAGGAATCAGAACTAACTTACATATGGCGTAGTAGCTAGGAGTGTTAGTCAATCAGCTAACTAGGATAAAGTAAGTGGAACGGGATTCGAAATCAAAATTCACTGAGTGAAAGTTAGATGCCAAAATCATTTATGTGTGAAAGAATGAGCATAACATTCACTGATCAAATCTCATGGTATAGAATTTTCCAATATCTTTTTGTATGAATACATGGTCAATCAAATAACTTGGATTTAATCTCAAAGCCCCTGTACTAGTAGTTGATAGACCAACATTAAGTGAGCATTTCATTTCAGTCAAATAAATCGAAGGGAAATACAAAAAGAATTCATTAACAAACTTTTGATACTCATTGTACAAGAGGTAGCTGTCGATGACCAGTGGGTGACGGATAAAGCCGTGAAATTTAGAAAGATGGATGTTGGATTCCCACCTCATTGGGAACACAATCATTCAGTGAGACACAGATATATCCAGTAACCCAAATGGGACGAAACAGACTCCATCACAAGCAGTTACCAGCCAAAAGACTTAAATCGTTGTCATCTGTTTCTGTTATCGCATTCATTTTTATCAAAATTAAATTTTACTTACAGATATTGTTAAATCAGTTGTTTCTTCATCCATTCTATCAAAATGTAATAATATGTTTTGTTCATATTGAACATTTAAGTACACCGGACCCCATACTTTCGCAATAATACTTTTTAAATAATAGATATTGTATGAATAACTAACAGACAATAAGAAATGTAAATATCTTCCAATTAATATTGCACTGGTAAATTCTAAATCATTTAGATGCTGTGCATAACCAGAGAACATTTTTGTTAAGAATCTATCCAAATACAAAGAAAGGAAAGACAAAGTAATATACTTAGGGGGATGGGTGGGACTAAAGTGCTATGTGTTAAACTGCTTATTTGATTTGATTAATAACTGAAAGGAGACTGACCTCTGACATGTATGTTTTCCATCCTTTCTGTGTGTGAAGAAAACAACAACAATTTGCCGTGGTTGATTTATTACAATTCGATCGTCACGCATACCTCTCACTCTCACACACACTGGAATACACGAGGAATTGTTGCCGATGGTATGTAGAATATTTAACTGATGATATTCTAAAGTCTCTTTCATTCACATCTACTATTTACTTAAATATCATGTATTGGAAGAGAATGGTTTCAATTACGGATTTCTAGACATATGTTAAAATCAGTCTTCGTTTAACTCGCCGTTTCCCTTTTTCGTCTTGTAAGCAAACATAATCGCTCATCTCAGCATACTTGAAAAATTATAAGTAATTTTGTAGAAAAGTGACATTTTCTTTTTCAGAACAGCTATTATACATATATATCTGCAGAGAAATTTCTGTTTTTATTCATTTCTCCGACAGACTCCTGCGTTGTCTTTTCCAAGTTTGACATTCGTATCACCCATGAGGATTTGGATGTTGCCATTCAGGTTCTTTTTCATTACCGTCTACAGTTGTCGGCAGAAGTCCTCCTTCTCCTCTTGATCTTTTTTATTATACGGATAATTTATTTGACAAGTCCGTGCATTGTGGGAGAGGTCAAGTAATACTAAATGTGTTTGTAACGTTTGTTGAAGTCGAATAATGAGTTTTGATCTTGTTAATATTTTGAGGAGTGTGAACAAGTAAAAACGTTTTACTCGAAATATCGCCAAAAGTATAACTTTTTATTGTGTGTATACTGCAATTACAGATAAATTTATAATAAATAAGAATGTTGCATTTTAGCGTGGCACAATAAATGATAAAAAACTCCTTGGTTGTAATTTAAGCTCCAATCTTAGTTTTAATATCACTATACTAAAGTTTGAATTTAAATGAAGCCTGTATTCTTCCACTAGGGATAAAATTAATTTTGATAAAGCCTCACAGTGGTATACAGTATTGTTTACCGATGACGTGTCAAGGTACCTTGATATGATTACGAGCAATAAATTGTGCTCGAAATGTCATCAGTAAATATTACTGTATAACACTGAGAATTTATCAAAATTAATTTTATTCCTAATGAAATTACACTCTACCACAGTGCACCAATTCTATTCTTATATCAAAGCCTGTATTCTATATTGAGAAAACGGCTGGATAAGTTGCATCTCATTGAGTAGAGGTATTCCAAATAATTTCGTTCCCAGAACACATCGCTTCTGAATTTACTAGTTATTTGAACACTATACTTGACTCTATTATAGTGGAATCCTATGTGCTTCAATTTCTGTGTAGAAAATCGTGATGTACACTGCCTTTTTCTTATGAGTTCTCATGAGATCCATCTATGTACTTACTGTATTTAAATTACGATAAAAATTAATCGAACTTCATAAGTCTTTGGCAGAACGTATTAGTCAGCAAAATGTCTCAGTCTCATACTTCACGTCATTCTTCTTGTCAAGCATGGTATCCAACTGTTTGCCAGCTAGAGTTACTTTCCAGAAAAAAGTTAGACTGAACATTTTTACGAAATTAAGTGTAAGATTCGATAAAATAATTATTTATACGTACAGAATGTTTTCACCTACCTATTTATACTTCGATGTGTATCATATCTAATAGTCCATGTTATAAATGGTCCTCGTTGACGCAAATAGGATATTATAAATTGCAAAGCTTTTTTGGGTGATTTATCCACACACATTTCTAATTCCATTTTACAAGGGAATTCTATATAACTTTGTACACCTAAATAAATTAAAACAAGGCTTTTAGAAAGTTGTACTGAATATTAGAAACTCGGAGGAGATTTCGAGAAATAGGTAGTCAGTTTCCGGAATGAAGTAGACGGAGAGTTTCAAACCCCAGAACCGTTTTTTAGAGCTAGTGAGCCAAAGCTTCACTTGTATCATTCTTTTGACTGAGTATATTGCATACCCGATTGATCTATTTCTTTCGACATTTGTAAATAGACAGATAAATTGATAAAGTTTAACTAGCAGTGAGTATTAAACTATTGAGTCGCAGACTGATTCTTGTAGGCTACTACTTGGCGAAAATTATCGAGACGACGAGAATCGGTAGTACGCAAATCAAATTCTTTGATATCTTACTATCTGTTACTTCACTTCACGTTCCGTATTATCCTGGTATTTCTGAGGTAAACTTTTATTCCAAATAGAAAATCTGATAAGCTAAATCACAAACATATATCGTATATTTGCTATTATATTTTATCTGTTTATCTCTAGATGACTGAAGTAAAATAGGGTGCATATTTTCAGTTCCAACGCTGTAATAATAATAACATTTTTATTCTGCACAGTATTTATAAGATGTACAGGATTTTCACAGGCGTTTATTGCATTATATTTTCCCTTCGTACAGGATATCCTTTGACACAATGGTCTCTGAACTGAAGTACAAACCATCCCATTGGGATATATCTGCTTTGTCTCCTTCGAGAAATCCACGATACATTTTGAGATCAAAAGACTTCACTGAAGAACAGTAATCTCATGTATTGGAACGCATTGGTACCCACAGTCAGGCGTTTCCCCAAGTGTAATAGGAACCTGTGAATCAGAGGCATTAGATGTCATATCCTAATCGATTACAGCAAACCGAGCGAGGGAAAATATTTGCAATAGATAGATAGCCCAAGTTTTAAGCAGGCCGCCGATCCCTACTAATTCATTCCAAAAAGTCGGTTATAATCAAAGCTTTTCAGTCCGGTGAACGTCAAGTTACTTTAAGCGTAGTTACACGTAAGTAGTCATTATTGTCTATTTAAGTCTAGATTCACACACTGCGTGATAACTTTAAGTTAGTAATTATTGTCAGGTAAACTTTTATGTAGCCCAGTTGACAATTAGATGATTGCTTTCTTTATCATTATTGTTGTAATTATTCCCTTGGACTCCATCATCATTTCATTCTGTTCCCTGCAGTCGTTTTTAGCTGGTCCTACTGATCTTCTTTTCACATAATCTCCTCCATATCACACTCAGAGAAACGCTCAACTGATAATGTAACATTCGGGTTTCACCCGAGAGTCTAGCGCGTGATATCAGCCAACGGTCTAATCAGCGCTTTTAGGACCGATTTCCATTTACTTTGGGAGAGTTGTTGGGCGGTAAGTTCTGGTTTATTTACTGCCATAGTTCCACGCCACTAATACTTTCTGAACAGCCACATGATCCTCGTTATCGAAAGAGGGGAGCAGTTCATGAAAGCCTGAAACCGTTTTTAAAAATGCATTTAGTAATCCCAAGGTACCTGTCGTATCATCCAATGCACCCCAATTGGGAACCTTGTCCTACCCGTGTCTTCGCTTCAAATGTTTTGCCTAGTTTGCCGTTCTTTTGTCGCTTGGATATCATTTAAATTTAGAAAAAAATATATTTAGAAAGGGTGTAAATATAAAAAAGATAATTATATATATGATGAGTGATTAGTATAAAGCGAAAGAAAAAATTGGGTTACAGCAGAAATCAGAATAGTGGCCTTTGTGTGTCTAGCCTTGTGTTGTAATACCTGGGCTATGAAAATGATCTGCTAAGTCATCAGTTCGCTGTAATTACTACATGTAATAAATACCCTTTTGAGCCTCGAATTTTAATTTCACCTTCAATCGTGACCTCTTATGTCAGCAGTAATCTACCAATCCAAAGTTTTCCTAGGTAATCTGCCTACAACCTCTGCATATCTCAGATAAAAAAGTAGATGGTAAATAAAAGCAGAACTCTAGTGGTTTTCAGTGATGAATTAAGATTTGTTAATTCAGTCAAAGTAGAATACTGATCAAATATAAAATGACTTACACTGTTCAACTTGTATATCCGGTTCCCAGTTTTCCAAATAAATGGTTAATCCTTCGCAATATTGACTATTAGATGATGTAGATGTTGCAGAGTGTGGAGCGTGTGGTTTTGCATGTGTACATTGTTCTAGAATTGTTAGGCATAGCTTAATGGCGAAAAAATATAAAATGACGAAATTATATCAAGCAAAAAAATTTTTAAATTTGCTGTATACATTTATTTTGACTGAAAATAATGACTATCATGTTTCAGGGCATTTAATGTGAATATGTAATTACTTAAATTACATTTGATTAAATGGATCATGACCTCTTTCGAATTAGATTTTTTCCAGTGTCTCTTGAACACATTGTTAACAATGAAACGTTAAATGAAAAAAAAAAATCAAAAAACGTATAATGTAAAGCGCTTATTTCCTGGAGAGAAAATAGCATAAATTGTAACTGTCTTGACACATTCGATGTTATCCACCAACTGCAAGAGAAGGTAACAAAATAATTTGATAGACGGATATAGTTGTGGAAAATACGAATCAGGACATTAGGGACCAAGGAATAAGAATCTCATTAAATGTATCTTTTCGGCAGTTTCATCCTCAAACGCTGTAGAGTAACATTTATATATGTAAGTTTACACAAATACAACTATTATTTAATTTGACGTAATAACGAAGGTGATAAAAGGTGATATCATTTTCAACATGATATGAAAGTTTAAAGTTGTGAACATAGATAGCAAGGGGCACAGAAACAAAATTACACAGGGTTAGAAAATAGTTGCATAATATGTAAAATGGTGCGAACGGGGTGAGCAGCAGAATAAATTGAAGTAATAGCTTATATGACTGAAAATCAAGAAAAGTCAGAAGAAAATGAAAGATGGATTCAGCGAAGAAAATTTTCTTTATCGACGAAATCACCTTCAGAGGCTGTACAGTCGTATTTATACTTATACAATTTCTACAGCCGACAAATGATCAACGGATGTGTCAAGGATAAACTGCCGCTTTTGGCCGCCTCAATGTGTGTTTATAAATTCACCTGCTCGTGTGGAGCTAGTTATATTGGCCGCACAAAGCGCACGCTTTCTAAACGCATCTCTGAACATTAGCAAAGGGACAATGCAAGACAATTACTAGCTCAATTCTCGAGCATTTGGTGAACTCAGGCCATGTAGCTCCACTAGAGTCGTCTTTCAACATCATCTACAAAGTGAAGCCAGATGGTACAAAGGGCGTCAGGTTTCGGCTTTTGTGTATGGCGGAGGTGCTGGCAATTCATCAATACAACCCTGAACTCTGTATACAGAAAACGTTTGTCCAGTCTTTTATCCTACCTTGGTCTTAACCTCTTCACTAATCGTTCCCTGTAAAAGATTTTTGATTTTTTCTTTTGTTCTTAATTTTTAATTTTACTTTTAGTTTGCTTTTGCTTTAATAATTAATTCACTATTATCAATTTCATATGCTTCTTTTGTATATTTTCACACCCTCTTGACACTTGTTAAATTGACACTCTAATAACTTTATTCTCACTCAAGAGCAATTTTAACCTTTTCAAACTTCTATTTTTGTTCCGTTGAGTACCATGTACCATGTGTGCGTCGGTGGCACAGTGGTTAGGACTCTTACCGACCATGCACATGGTCCGGGGTTCGAGCCCTCGCCGACGCACACCTGATATCTATGGTCGGCCTGCGAAATTTGGGCTACCGATATCCACGCTGAAAATTCCATACTTGTACCAAGAATACGGTGTGGAATCAAGCTGTAATCGAAAATAAATAAATAAATAAATGTAATTTACAACTTTTAATTTTCACTTCTAAAGCCACTGATGATTAATTATATCAATTATGTCACCCCCTATTACTCAATAATAGACCACTATATATTTTTCTAAGTATAAATACGATTGTACAGCCTCTGAAGATGATTTCGTCGATAAATAAAATTTTCTTCGCTGAATCTGTCTTTTATTTTCTTCATGACTCAATGGGTATTTTCCGTGATTTAAAAGTGAAAAGACAAAAATCGAGAACTAAGGAGTTAAAAGGAAGTAGTACCATGTCAGTTCCTTCGAATAAATAGCTCAGGTTTTTATTGCACTTGGTGAGTTCTTCTGCAGTATAACGATGTCGGAAACATGCTGCCGGTGGTAGGTTTTTTTTAACTCTGTAAATAACTCTGAATGATGAATCAGTTGAGAAGCTGTCACAGATGTTGATAAGGTGCTCAGTTATGGTGCTTCTGATTGAACTAAATCCCTACAAACCAATACCTGAATACCAATGAGATGCTCACTGGCGATTGGCCCTATTCAGGTAGGTATTTACCTGGGATTCCAGTGGGAAGTCGTGACCAGTAGGGTGCAGCAGGTTGGGTGTGAGGACAAATACTTGCCGAAGACATTGACTACGGGTCGCTCTATGTCGTGAATCGGCAGAAGTTAGAATTCATGCGCCATTGGATCGGTCCCAGTGGCTTAATGGTATACGAGCTCGCTTTGTAACCAGAAGGTTCTGGGTTCGAACCCTGTGGTGTGGGTGAGTACTGCTGAAGAGTCCCCGACTAGGACAGCGGAAACAGCTGTCCAGTACTCACATCTGGTTTTCCAATGGTTCTCTAACTGATGTCAGCTCACGATGAAATCCTGTAACTGATGCCTTCTTTTCCAGCGATGCTGGGTAATGTTCCCTAACACGTTTGGAAACGACACGCATAAAGCGCCTTATATACCTAGCTTCGCAGGAGCACGTGAAAGGATAAATGCATATTGGAGTGGTCATATGCGCGAGTTTGTCCTTCACATAGCAGTGAGCGGCTAGAGAAAACCACTCGTGGTGTTACTGCAGGAAAGGTCTTCTTTATGGGCCTAGAGATTCTCCTCTTTAGCATGTCTACCAATAAGTCTTCCTAAGATTCAGACTAACATACATTATTTTCGCTGGTACTAAAGTGCATTTTCCTCCTTTTGGCTTTGGTTTCATGTTCTTTTCCATTTTAGCCAGGATATTTTTCAGGATAAGGAGTTTCCTTCCAATCTATCACTGCTGCAGATTGTTTTGAAACTGTGGATCAGTGAAAATCGTTATCTCCCTTATTCTCTGTTGTGTGAAATTCAAAAATAACTATGTGTGTAAACTTATGTATATAAAAGCAATTATACAGCGTTTTAGGAAGAAACTGCTGAAAAATATCTTTGATGGGCCTCCTGTTTTCTCTCTCTAAAGGAATATTAACCTTAATCTTGTACATACTTGTTATTAGCTTCGAATGACAGAATCCATTAAAGATAAACAAACTAAAGACTATATTATTTCAGTGAATGGTTGGGAAAATGGCTCTTGAAAAATTAAAATATTCTTTTGAATATTGGAGGATTTAGGTTTTTTTGATGGAAAGAATTGCTTGTAGAAGGTAATACGGATATGATCAGAAGTATTAAATTGTACTGAAGACCTCATCCTTTTGTTATCATCGTGTCGCTATGTATTATGTATGAATAAACTTATCATGAATTTATATCAGATGATTACTACATGAACTCGCGCACATATTTAATTATCCTCAAACAAAACTCTGTCCTCTTCGTGTGCAACAACAACGTTACATACTTCAACATACTTCAGATTATTAATTTACATGTAAATCCCTTACGAAGAAGAGATGTTTTGGAATGCTGAAAATATCTGTACTGTGTGTTCACATGCTGTCTGAAATAAATCCTTTTTATTATGATAATTAGGGGCTTTTAAATAAACCTAATATTTTATTGGATTGTGAATCATTTCTTCTTTTAGTTTAAAGTGCCGTATTTATTTCTGGCATATTGTGTCCGAGTTTTAATACCCAAAAGACTATCATAGTTGTATTTGAAGTCATCGACGTGAGTAAATAAGTAAATAAAATAAATATCATGAAATTACTCGCGGAAAACTTAAACTATAAGGCCTCAAGCTATCGAGAGTAGAAGTTTCCTTAGAGTAACTAGTTAAAAAAAGCAAATCTTTGTGGAAAACATTTTACTCATGGAAAATACTGTTTAAAAAACTATTAAAATATTAAACAGAATATCGTTCATTAGCATACTGCGAGAATGAATTCCAGCTTCTCATATGAGTATATTATCACGCCAACTCCTAATAATGATGTCACATTACTAATTTATCACGATGCCACTTCGCGTTGGTTTTTACAGCCTTTGCTCTCATCTCCCTTTTCAAAATGCAAGGACAACATCGATGCGTTATCTTCTTCAATGAATGCTTGAACTTTGAAAAGATTGTTCCTATAAATGCTAACATACTATCTTGTACATTTATTTATTTTTTGGCAACTTATATATCATAAAAATGGCCATCTTTGGTTTGGGATAAATGTTACATGGTCACATTAACCCCAGAAGGACATACTGGAATTCTGATAGTTAGGTTATTATCGAGAGAAAACTGCGGCATAATAAATCTGTTTAGTATATTATGAACAGTATTCACCATTAAAATTAAACTAGGTTTTCCCCACTGTGACTGTATAAATATTATCTAAACAAACTCCGACTGATCACTTAGGGGATATTAGAGGGTTTTTCTGCTTTGTGCCCTGTAGTTCAACGTTAACAAACAATGATTCAGCAGTAAACACTATTAATTGTTAGGTGTGAATTTTACTTTTCAAATTCAGTTCTTTATGGGTTCTTGACTGATTGTCAACCCAAATATTTTCAGATGCATGTGTGATTGGATGTTTAATATTTGGTCAAAATATTCAAGGATATAGTGTACCAAAACAGTTGGTGAATGACGTTCGTCATTCATAAGTTGATCAGATAATGAGCTGCCGTGACCAACCATTATCCTTTCTTTTTTTTCCTTCACGTTCCCAGTGGAACATAGACCTCCAAGCTAGAGGCTTTAAGTTTCTGTAGCAGTGTTTAATTTTACAGGATGGGGTTTCTAGCCTCATGCCAAACCTTTTCTCTTTACTAGCATTATTTCTGGCTTAGCGAGGTAAAGGAGTGAGTCGGCCGGGGATCGAACCCTGGACTATTTGCATGGTCGGCGAGCGTTCTATCTGCCGTAATATATATGAAAACTTTGTACGTCTTGGAATGGTGCAGTATGATATAGTTACATTTTTCTGGTTGTTTATGTAAAGTGATTTTTGTAATATTCAAGGTAGAATTACTGGGATTGAAACACCTCTTTACCTTTAGAAAATATCCTTTGAAGAGTAGAGTGATGTTTTCTATTGTTATGACAATGTTACCACGATTACTAATGATAGTAACTGCAAATTCCAAAAATGTATCTCCTCAAACAAATGAAATCACATTAAGGTGTTCATTTTCAGGGGTTTGATTGGCTACAAGATTTCATCTTGAGCTGACATAGGTTAGGGAGCCATTGAGAAAACTAGCAACGAGGACTAGACAGCTGTTTCTTCTTAGTTTGGAACTCTCCACCAGTACGCACCTGCCCACTGGGGTTTGAATTCGGGACCTTCCGGTTTCAAGACAAACTCGTAGACCATGAAGTCACTGGGAACCGATCCAATGGCCCACGAAGAAAATCATATTACATAACTGCAATATGTGAAGTTAATAGAAGAACAATATATATAATAATGATGCTAGGCTTATGCAGGTGTTAATTTAGAAATTATTAAGTAGGTTTTTACAGTCCTTTTCTAAAATTTGTCTCTTCAAACCATTCCTGTGCTAAATATAGTGTGACTAGAATTTTTACGTTCAGTGGTAAGGCCACAAATTCTAATGGCATTTGTTTTTGTTAAACCTACAGAGATATAAGGAGAAAGTTGTGAATAAAGAGGATGTTCAGTACCCGACATGACCTTAACTATCTGCTTGCACAAATTAAATAACCTATCAACAACAATGTTAGTTAGCTAAGTCAGTGGCATTTCACTAGTTCTGCTTACAGCCTTTTAAGTCTTATGTCGTCTGATGTAACCTTCTCTTATAAGCTAAGAGTAGAACAAGGAGTGACAACAAGGAGGAGTGGGTAGAACAGTTGAATTATTGAGAATGGATTTATTGAGGCTGAATAATCCCAACTTACGCAATAAATCAAAAAAAATTTTTTCACAAATCAATAAGATACGAGACGACCAAAAAAGATTGGAAAATAGACTGACACCGAGATAGGTACTATTCGACTTATTTCTAACAAAATCGATGTTCTTACTGTAAGAAAAGTGGAAGTGAAGCAGTCCACATAACTCTTGTTCTTGCCTGAAACTAAAGTCGACGGTCTGACATTTAAAGAAGTTAAGTTTAATCTCATTTGAATAAGACCACTGGTCAACCTTAGATAGGAAACTATGCGATCAGACCTTTCAGACATTTTCGAACTGAAAGTAACCGAATTTATACTAGGCTACAAGCCAGTAACAGAAATTAAATGGAGACAACCTTTTCATACATGATATGAAAATTTACGTGACTACATGTGTAGATTAGCCACAAGGAGGTTGAATACAAAATTAAATAGACTTGTACAATATGTAAAATAATTTCGTGAAAAATAAGGTGTAAATAAGGTTGGCATAGAAACAGAGGGAAATGTTGTTTCATCGCAGTAAAGTGGAAAACGAAAACAAATAATACGATTCAAAACAAAAACCGTCCATTTTAAATTTAGTGATTAAATAAGCATATTTAAAACACATAGCCCCGGTTATTCTATGATTATAGCAATGACTTATTGTTGTGCAAAGAAGTAAGAGACTTATTGTACCCTGTGACTTTCTTTTTCAACCTGTAAATAACTAAGAATGATAATTCCTATGTGATTTTGTGGTAAGTGCTGTCAGCGTACTCACTGAAGAATAACTAAATAATAATTATGACTGTGTTAATTTGTAGAACTTTTTTTTCTGCATTGATGTGATGAGCATGACTTTATTATTTGACAGTAATAAACAATGATATAACAATTAATTAATTAGCATGTTAAGTTGACTGGAGAAGATATCCTTTAATTATTCACAGATAAAAAGTATCAAAGTTGAAAAAGTGAAGGAAATCCTGTTTCGGTCGACAAACCTGGCTATCATATGTAAGAATTTTCAGATTATGAATTACTTCACGTTACGTTTCATTTTAGATAGGAATCTTACAGAATAATATTCAATATCATAAAGTTGATATCAGATGGTTGTCGCTGAGATATAACGGTTCACAACTGACGTTAATTCAGAGAACATTCTCTAGCTTCGTGACAACATTAAAAACTTGACTGATAAATTTTAGTCAGCACTAAAACTAAGAAGTGGAAAGATTATACTGCCGATACCCTAGTGCTCAATCAATATAATATCAAGGAATACTAAACAGTGGCGAAATAATAGAGAAGATTTGTAGCTCAAGTGGATGATTTGCAATTATTAGTGTTCTCTGAGCTAGTTGACTTAGTTGCGGAGACGCAAATATATCACTCATGAAGGAATTTTAATCATTTCACTTTATGCTAATTATTGCGCTGGAGATGTTGTCCAGAAGGACGACGAAAGCTCCGCAACTAAACCAACCAGCTCAGAGAACACTAAAAATTACAAACTAAACAGTTGTATTATTTATATTTGCGGGATTTCTGCAGTAACACAGGGTAGTGGTGCACTAATGAAGTTCACTTACAGATTTAACTTCTCATCTTCTGAATAAAACGGAAGAAAAGAAAAAAACTCGGGAAAAAATAGATTTACCTTTACAACACCAAGTGGGTCAACAAATCCTGGTTTTCCCTGAAAATGTCTATTTCTATAAGGCCTTTCTAAATTATTATTCCAACTGCAATGATATAAGGCTGGATGAGGATATTTCGAAGTAATTTCACTCGAATGGTGTTGATCATGGGGCGTTGTGCACTCCTTCATAGTGAAAAAAGTATTATACTTTTGATGAGGCTGTATATATATTCAGAAAGGCCAGTCAGTATTTCTTTAACAGTTATTTCAAATAATAAATCGATTTATCAATTAGCGAATGAGTTACAGTTAAAAAGTATATGTTTTTAAAAACCACATTTTTCACAGGTTCCTTATACAGTAAAGATGCGCAAGTGTATATAATTGGAAGTGGTTCTTAGCACGCAAATATTTTTAAACGACGTTTAGTAAGAGATATTTTAGCCAATGAAACAATCAACAGCGTGAATATTCTGTACCACACTAAGAAAGTTGCATACATATTTTACTTAACTTATTGAGAGGTTAAGTGAATGTCTAAGTGGATTAATACGTGGATAAACGTTAACAAAATGCACCTAACAACCTGACGAAATAGCGAACACAAACGTTATCCCCAAACAATTTTCATCTTTTTAAGCCAGAAAATGTCAGAAGAAAAGTACTAATTTATTTCAATGAGAACACATTTCTTATATATATATATATATATCTAGGATATGGAAGCTTTTCTGAAATGTTTTGGTCTACTTCTTAGTCAAAATCGTCTTAAACAGGAATTACGTAGGCTCTTACCTGCATTTTTGATTATAGCCGCGGAATACAGAGAGTATCCAATAAGTCACCTGGCCAAAATTTTGCTTCCTGTTGTCTAGCTTCTCATATGAAACTTCTTTACGGTTCCAGAGTGTGGTTTAAATCTCCCCTTCTACATTTAATTTTTATAGGAGATATTTTTTCTTGAATACTATTTGTTCAAGTGCTCGCCTTGGAGGTGAATGAAGAAAACCACATAAATAACCTTGCTTGTGCACATTGAAGACTTGACGTTTGATACCACGTGAAATTTGAACTAGTGTTCAGTTTGCATATTGCAGAAGCTCTGCTTCATTTGCTTATAGTAAGTTGCATCAAGGCAACTGGATTCTGCTTACTGCGATTAGCAATATCAGCTGCAGTTTAATCAAGACTACATTCAAATTGAGTTCACTAGAAGGTGGTGAAAACTTCAATGCTCAGTGGTCTTAATAATTTATCTAAATGACAAAAAAGAGGGATAGATACATTATAGAGACGTGACGTATCAGCAAGATTTGTAGACGGATAAAAGTATTTGCAAGAATATCATTTTGCATAGAAATAACTGTAACAGAGATATGTAGAAGTTAAATGAAGTAAATCGTCCGCCTCGCAAACAATTCATAAACATTCTAACTACGCAGATAAGTGACAAATTTTCATTGCCAGTCTCAACAAATTTGCTTTATGAACAGAAAAATGATCTCATCAGACCTAAAGGAAAATGGTGGTTAGACGTAATGACAATTACGGATTGACGTGCTTTGAATATCAAGGGTATCAAGTGAAAGAAAAATATGTTTTTATTGCAAGTGGTTTACACCATTAATTCAGATGTAATATGCTTTTAAATATTTTCAAACCAGTCGTAGTGACTATATTGTGAGAATGTAAGATATCAAGCAACAGGAGTATTTGTCCATGGATCAACTACACCGAAAGGTTAAATATTTTCCAGTCCACAGATGATAATCCGATTTATGTCCAAAAATTAACGGTAGGTATGTGGTGAGAGCTGCCCGATAGTCAAAATTGGTGGACAGTAATTTACGTCAATGTTTATGTCCCTAATATTGATCGTGAGTAAAATGAGAACAAAGGCTTTGCGTAGGCGGATACAGTTAACATATAGATGATCTGACATTCACGAAACAGCCACAAAATGATGCAAGGTTACCTTTCTGTGGGAAACAACTAATCAGAAGACTGTGTTTTGCTGCTAACAATAATCTATAATAATGTACATGAAAATCTCTAAATATGTGTTGATTTCCTTAATAAACGACCTGTTGCCTGTCCCTTGTCTTCTGTTGTTCCAAGTATTTCTCAAACATTCTTACATGACTGCATTTCAGACTTATGGTACACCGGATAGTTGACGGACAATGTCTGTTGTTGTTGGTGGTGATGATGATTTCCCCACTACTACCTACCGATTGGCACCAACCACTTCATGGTGGTTCTAATGACTTCTGGTCAGTCTACATGTGAAGCCATTAACATCTATCCAATTCCCTCGATTTGTTCGCATTACACTACAGGGACACACTCGTGCACATTATTTCATTTTTTATTTTGATTATATCATGAGTTCATAGCACATCTAAATATGATGAAAGATAATCTTTTAAACCTGGATACTAGTAAATCACAATACAACCATATTTTAAACTCTGATCACATCCACTCAATCATTCTCAGGTTAAATTAAACATAATTACAATAAATATAACAAACAATACTTATTCAATTGAAACACGTCCCACCTGTCAACTGAAGGTGCTCTTAATATATAATGCTTTAGACATACAAATAAAAAGTTTTTTATAACTTCAGTGAGTATAGTTTAAGCCTTAATACAGTCACCCTCATGCAACAGTGACAAGATAATGGATGATTATTAAGCTATCTTTGTGATCATGAGGCTGAAAGAGATATTAGTTGAATATTTTGAGGGCGTGTGAAAAAGTAATTTGACTAATCACGCGCTACGCTTCTGGGTATTAGAAAATGAACTGTATTAGGTAATTAAACGAAACAAAAAAGACCAGGCTCCATTTAAATGTAAGTTTGGAAACAAATTACAGAATGCCTGATATTTTTATGTTAGAAACACATTAAAACGTTGAGGTCGGGAGTGAAATTTCGCAGTGAGGATACAATCGACGGCGGCTGTCGAGATAGTGGTCAATGCTGATTGACATCGAGTTCAAAGGAGATGTTACGACAATTAACAGAACCTCACCATAATTCGCAATGCATATGTAATGAATGAGAGAAATTAGCGAGATTGAAGATGTCAAGTAGTTTACACTTCCAAATAGAACTGAATACTTTCCAGTATCACTGGCTTCCTCACAGTCAATATCGAATGACGCTGTTCAAACATCATGATTCCTAAACACCACACGAAACTCTCATTCAGACATGAAAATCAGTGTGGTATTCTTTATCAACAGTGAACATCTACCCATGCATATGGTATCCTAAGATGTATATGACATTTATCTTGTGAGTCATTCATAATGTGCGTTGAGATATTTGTCTGTGAGACCTCGTACACATGCAAAAATCAAATGTCACGTTTCCATCAACTTCATGCACTGTGACATTTAGTTCTCATGCAATACTGATGAACAAGTCATACCTTCACCACTTTAATGACCCCTATATAGGTCATGGAACGTGTCGACCAAACACAATAAGCATCCATCACACTAACAATTATCCAGTTAACAATACTTGCATATGCTGCAAATGTTGTTGTCTTCACTCACAAAACGTTCAAATGAAAACAAACTACGTGTCAAACACAAGTAATCATAATTCACATCGTCACACAACCACTATTTATGTTACTCAAAGTAATCAGAACACTGACAAAATGATGTGAACTCGGAGTTGCATTAACAGCTGAGACACTAAACTTCACTACTTGTCCTTTATCGCACTCAGTGTTCATATATCCGCTAAAACCACAACAATAGTGAACGCCATTACACACATGTATGATCGTTAGGCAAAAATAATAAATGTCCTGTCAGTTGAGCCCCGCCTAATACGAGATATTTAATCTTGTGAACTTATACTTTTACACCCTTAAGCGTGTAACTCGTTGATTGAAAGTTAAATGCTGAACACGTCATGCTTCATTTTGACGGATTCGATGTTGAACAGCCTTCAAATAAATCACAATATTCATCATTATGGAGTTACAAAGAGAGTTATACAGACTTAATCAATCCAACTGAGTCATTCAGTCGAGCATAATAAGACCGTGAAATAGACTATTTTCACAGCTCTGACAGTAAATGTCAGGTCGAGTTGATCAACGTGTGCCACAGGACCTACATTTCCTATTTCTTGATGAACACCAGTAATGTTTAAATACAATTTTGATGAAACCGGAACGAAGTGCACATAGATCCAAAGGTTTCGTACCTCATCCAGTCCATTATATGACCGTATTAATTGGCCTTCATTAGCATGTTTAACATCGCCAAAGATTAGCTCTGGCCACTTACCACGCATTAATTTCGGAAAAGATTAAGTCATTACTGATGTGATAGTATCACGCAGCCCAATAATACATGACTGGACAAGAAATGAATGTTTTCAAGGCAATAGTTTACTTGAGGAAATGTTGTAAAATAGTAGTTTTCCTGGTGCATCAAATGTAAAGGACGTTTACAAATGAGTTGAAATTTCTTAACCAAAATCATTATACTCCTTCTTTTCACAAACAATGGATTATGTGACGAGTCGTTCTGTTTTACAAACTACTGGTACCTGTCCATAGCCTGGAAGATGTGATTAGCGGGTACGCAGTTAGCAAGAATGCCATGCAATAGAACGCATCCATTGAATTCTGTACATGTTTTTTCTTAGCTGCCTCAGAACCCCTGGAGAGAATATATTGCACGAACCGAAATATGCTTCTCTTACCCTCTCCATTCTAGTGTAATGTCAACACTCTTGTCTTTCCATGTTCATTTTGACAATAATTCACTCTTTGACCATCTTGTTTGTCTCATCACACAACTCCTTGTTTATAAATGCTCGCATCTAATTAAACTTTCACTGTTTTTTGATTGATACCCATCAGTCATTGCAAACTTTTCAAACTGTGGCGGTGGCACAGTGGTTAAGACTCTCGCTGACCATGCACATGGTCCGAGGTTCGATCCCCTTCCAACGTACACCTGATATCTATGGTCGGCCTGCAAAATTTGGGCTACCGATATCACATGCTGAAAATTCCATACATGTACCAAAAATACAGTGTGGAATCATGCTGTAATCACAAATAGAAGATTAAAAAAACTTTTATTCGCTCTGTGCTAATATGTGTTTTAGACGAAACTTGTTTGAACATAGACATGCATGAAATCGTATGTATAGTTACGATTTTTCAGGTCTAATGAATGAAAACAATTGTTGAAACTAGGTCATACATACATAAATAGATGAAATATTTGACTGACTCGTCTAGCTACATATGGTATGGGTTTCATCAAAATACACTACTACAACAACTAATCATACACGAATAAGTGCTCATAATTCCTCTTGCACTGAAATTGTAAGTCAAAAGATATGGTTCTGGTAGCACATTTTTCACACACTTCCAGCACTAGTACCGCACATACTGATATAGACTACTGTTTTGAAAAAATATCGCCACAGTATTCCACCTTTTCCAGTAGATTTTCAACATCCCTTCAGTGTAACGCAAACAACCTAGTCTCTGTTCTCGGTAGTTACTTTACAACTGCTCAGTCGCCAAACAAACGACAGAATGAAACGAAAACTGAAACACTCATACATGCGAGTGTTATATTTACTGGGAGTGGTATAAATCAGCCAATAGACAGCTCTCATTTCTCTGTAATGTTAGTTAGTTGTCATAGCACCTAAAATACACCTGACTAGTAAGCGAGAACAAACACCACACCGGTATCTACGATATTTAGTCAATTATTCTAGTGGTGTTCTTTATATGAAAATGCAGTGGTTATCAAAAACTTCAGCTTCAAAACATATCATCCAATAATCTCGAACTAACGCATTAATTAACCAATAGAATTCCATATTACGACGTTATCAATCAACATCACCATGTCCAATAGTCCACTCTTCGTTAAGCATCACTTTCGTCGGCAGTAGGTTCATTGTGAAGGTCTCCCTGCTAGAAACGATGTTGACAGTAATACAGTAGTCAAAAGCACTCAACAATATCAAGTGGCTCATCTACACAAAACACCAACATCATGACTGTTCTTGATTAATAGTTCTGAGTGATAGTGTATGTCTCATCGGCCCGAGATCTACTCAGATGCTTGCAGGCCAGTTGTTCTGTAAGTGATCAGTCCCTATCGAAAAGGATGTACGAGGACTGTTCCAAGTGATAAGTCAACATCTCTAACTGATATATCATATGACGAAGGATCTAATGCGCAAACTCGATTCAACGCAAAATTGATAAGTTTACAGCATACACATATAACTGTTGAAATATGACCTCAATGAAAGCATTCCATAGACTAAATTATATCGCTCGAATTCAAACAAATATTTTAATAATATATGTATTGTAATTTAGCAGAAACATTTCCTCATCATCCTCTGTCACTCATATACAATATCTCACTTTACCGTGCAAGAGTGTCACATCCAAATCCAATGTGGACGAAGTCAAAGTAGTAGAGTAAACCCTCGCATTATTCAGTTAAGTGCCCACTTAGACTCGATTTTTTAGCACACTTACAATCATCGATACTATCGCTACGAATACTAAATCAACTAGTCGTAAAATAATGTCAATACTGAAATTAACACATCTGAAGCTTCTACTAATTCTACTGTAGTGGAAAATAGACTGGATTTGGAAGCAGAATTACTTGTGTGGCGAGATGATGTACAGTGATCGCAAAATACGAAAATTCCCCATTGAAGCTTCAATTTGTACAAGCTATTCATATTCTACATTTTTTTTCCTTCACTACGTACTTCCTATGGCACTTCAGCTCTCCTCTATGCAACTTAACCCATTGCTTCATTATTCGAGATCCTCACAGAAGCCGTTTAAAATATACTACTTGAAAACTCTTGCCAATAGCACACGCCACACTACTAACAGTTACACTACCACAACTAACACTAATATTAGCGTCACTCCTATCCAATATTCACATCTTTCAGAATGGTTATTCAATACCGTTATTCTATAAAATAGTATTACTAATTAAACAACTCAAAATCTACGCGTATACCACAAAGTCAAAGTTAAGGTGGTCATCAAACTAATACAAAACACGCATTAAACGCTTTCACTTATCAGATATTTATGACATAGGCATCAATTCCACACACCACTGAACAGTCGGATAAATTTAGCTAGTATCTTCGGTTCAATGCAAGAGTTATTACTTACACATAGTTCTATTATTCTTGCAACTATTTCAGACTGAAGTTTTCTCCACGTAACAAACAAGTTTCTACCTCTCGAATTATCGCACAATTATGAAGCAGCAAAAAGAAACCAAATAAAGTTCCATAATTATCTTTAAAAAATTACTAGATAGTGTTTTTATTGTTCCATACTGAGCAGTTTGAGCTAATCAACAACTGGGTAATTTTAAGACCATTCTATACAAACATATTCATTGTCAGTTCCGATGGACTGCATTCATTTTATATAGTTTAAATATCGTTTGTCTATATTTGAGTACCGATTGCCGGAAATACATATTTCAAAATTTTCCTCATTGTTTCCTTATTCGCTGGATCTTCCAAATAGTGGTCAAAAATGTCTAAAAATATCGGAAGCGAATTCTAAAATATAGAATGAAACAAAAGGAAAGTAATTATGTGAGAAACACTAAAAGGAGTTCGTGCTAATTCAATATAACACCCAATATATGGTATCCTGCTGTTTACATTTCTCTACCGAAGAAAAGTAATATTTTGTTGGTGAAAGACTAATTTCGAAATAATTCTGCTTCGTGTGATTGACACCAATAAGTTCACCTAGGAAGATGGCTGAGTTCAAATCAAAGGTTAAAAAACCATTGGCAAGCAAGAAACCAACCATAATCTGGAACTAATTTAACTAGCATTATGACAAAACAAACATAAAACAGCTTCCAATTGCAATTTGAGACACTTTGGAGACTTTTACGTTATTCTTTCTTCCTTAAATCATTCAGGAATCGATAGAACATATCCTGACTACACTTACCTCTGTTTACTCTCACAATCACCTAGTAAAAGTGAGTGTAATATTATGCTTTCCTATACGAAGCTAATCTGCCTTATTTCATGCATTAATCAAGATAATAATATCAGAGAAAATCAGATTGAAGTTGCACTCAAACAATAGATATATGGTGGAAAGCTGCTTGACAAAACTCACCTTGAAGGTTTCTTCCGATACCTGACGAGTTCGGTGTAGAACAGCTTCATTCAAACACAGCTTGTCCAATTCATTTTTATTAGCTGCTGCTTGCAATATTGGCACAAGTGCCTCAATCAGGGTCCTTGAGTAATATTTAATTCCTTCTGATTGCGCAAAGTTGCTTTCATCGAGACCTTGAAGTCTTGAGAATTTGGAAATATATTCAGGTTTAGCCTTCAAAAACCTGTGATTTAGTAAGAACAAATATTCTTTCTGCGTTTCACACGCTTACCATCCATACACCTTCAAGCCAAGTCCTACACGGTGTTCTTCTGTATCCACATGAGGTCCTAGTTCGCTAATTAACCGATCAACTTGGGATTGAGTGACACCAGTCATAATAATATGCTGTTTGTATGATGAGATATTACTTGCTATGTGAAGAATGTCATGCCCGTATATATATCTGATAAGTGGATTGAGAAAACCAATTAAAACAATCTACGCTCATTCCATTGTCATTGATAGACGTAGTCACACATAGCTTGGTAAATAAAGCAATGACATATGTCATGCTCCAATTGTATTGGTTGATAAACTTTCAAATCTTCAGGGAACGTGTTCTAATATTTGACCGAAGAATTACGCTCAGAACTAAATGCACTGAATTCACTTCATTTGAGTGCAAGACGGAGTTTTCAATGGCTGTCTTCAGAATTTTAACATCATTTGACTTATATCTGTTATCAGTTTTACCACAGTGAATACAATGAAAACCAAATTTCCATATGAGTCTGGTCGTGTCAAATACTACCAATCCCAGCAACTACTGGTAGTAAGCGACTCACGAACAGCACCCAACGTTAAAATTCTGAAGACAGCCATTGAAAACTCCGTCTTGCACTCAAATGAAGTGAATTCAGTGCATTTAGTTCTGAGCGTAATTCTTCGGTCAAATATTAGAACACGTTCCCTGAAGATTTGAAAGTTTATCAACCAATACAATTGGAGCATGACATATGTCATTGCTTTATTTACCAAGCTATGTGTGACTACGTCTATCAATGACAATGGAATGAGCGTAGATTGTTTTAATTGGTTTTCTCAATCCACTTATCAGATATATATACGGGCATGACATTCTTCACATAGCAAGTAATATCTCATCATACAAACAGCATATTATTATGACTGGTGTCACTCAATCCCAAGTTGATCGGTTAATTAGCGAACTAGGACCTCATGTGGATACAGAAGAACACCGTGTAGGACTTGGCTTGAAGGTGTATGGATGGTAAGCGTGTGAAACGCAGAAAGAATATTTGTTCTTACTAAATCACAGGTTTTTGAAGGCTAAACCTGAATATATTTCCAAATTCTCAAGACTTCAAGGTCTCGATGAAAGCAACTTTGCGCAATCAGAAGGAATTAAATATTACTCAAGGACCCTGATTGAGGCACTTGTGCCAATATTGCAAGCAGCAGCTAATAAAAATGAATTGGACAAGCTGTGTTTGAATGAAGCTGTTCTACACCGAACTCGTCAGGTATCGGAAGAAACCTTCAAGGTGAGTTTTGTCAAGCAGCTTTCCACCATATATCTATTGTTTGAGTGCAACTTCAATCTGATTTTCTCTGATATTATTATCTTGATTAATGCATGAAATAAGGCAGATTAGCTTCGTATAGGAAAGCATAATATTACACTCACTTTTACTAGGTGATTGTGAGAGTAAACAGAGGTAAGTGTAGTCAGGATATGTTCTATCGATTCCTGAATGATTTAAGGAAGAAAGAATAACGTAAAAGTCTCCAAAGTGTCTCAAATTGCAATTGGAAGCTGTTTTATGTTTGTTTTGTCATAATGCTAGTTAAATTAGTTCCAGATTATGGTTGGTTTCTTGCTTGCCAATGGTTTTTTAACCTTTGATTTGAACTCAGCCATCTTCCTAGGTGAACTTATTGGTGTCAATCACACGAAGCAGAATTATTTCGAAATTAGTCTTTCACCAACAAAATATTACTTTTCTTCGGTAGAGAAATGTAAACAGCAGGATACCATATATTGGGTGTTATATTGAATTAGCACGAACTCCTTTTAGTGTTTCTCACATAATTACTTTCCTTTTGTTTCATTCTATATTTTAGAATTCGCTTCCGATATTTTTAGACATTTTTGACCACTATTTGGAAGATCCAGCGAATAAGGAAACAATGAGGAAAATTTTGAAATATGTATTTCCGGCAATCGGTACTCAAATATAGACAAACGATATTTAAACTATATAAAATGAATGCAGTCCATCGGAACTGACAATGAATATGTTTGTATAGAATGGTCTTAAAATTACCCAGTTGTTGATTAGCTCAAACTGCTCAGTATGGAACAATAAAAACACTATCTAGTAATTTTTTAAAGATAATTATGGAACTTTATTTGGTTTCTTTTTGCTGCTTCATAATTGTGCGATAATTCGAGAGGTAGAAACTTGTTTGTTACGTGGAGAAAACTTCAGTCTGAAATAGTTGCAAGAATAATAGAACTATGTGTAAGTAATAACTCTTGCATTGAACCGAAGATACTAGCTAAATTTATCCGACTGTTCAGTGGTGTGTGGAATTGATGCCTATGTCATAAATATCTGATAAGTGAAAGCGTTTAATGCGTGTTTTGTATTAGTTTGATGACCACCTTAACTTTGACTTTGTGGTATACGCGTAGATTTTGAGTTGTTTAATTAGTAATACTATTTTATAGAATAACGGTATTGAATAACCATTCTGAAAGATGTGAATATTGGATAGGAGTGACGCTAATATTAGTGTTAGTTGTGGTAGTGTAACTGTTAGTAGTGTGGCGTGTGCTATTGGCAAGAGTTTTCAAGTAGTATATTTTAAACGGCTTCTGTGAGGATCTCGAATAATGAAGCAATGGGTTAAGTTGCATAGAGGAGAGCTGAAGTGCCATAGGAAGTACGTAGTGAAGGAAAAAAAATGTAGAATATGAATAGCTTGTACAAATTGAAGCTTCAATGGGGAATTTTCGTATTTTGCGATCACTGTACATCATCTCGCCACACAAGTAATTCTGCTTCCAAATCCAGTCTATTTTCCACTACAGTAGAATTAGTAGAAGCTTCAGATGTGTTAATTTCAGTATTGACATTATTTTACGACTAGTTGATTTAGTATTCGTAGCGATAGTATCGATGATTGTAAGTGTGCTAAAAAATCGAGTCTAAGTGGGCACTTAACTGAATAATGCGAGGGTTTACTCTACTACTTTGACTTCGTCCACATTGGATTTGGATGTGACACTCTTGCACGGTAAAGTGAGATATTGTATATGAGTGACAGAGGATGATGAGGAAATGTTTCTGCTAAATTACAATACATATATTATTAAAATATTTGTTTGAATTCGAGCGATATAATTTAGTCTATGGAATGCTTTCATTGAGGTCATATTTCAACAGTTATATGTGTATGCTGTAAACTTATCAATTTTGCGTTGAATCGAGTTTGCGCATTAGATCCTTCGTCATATGATATATCAGTTAGAGATGTTGACTTATCACTTGGAACAGTCCTCGTACATCCTTTTCGATAGGGACTGATCACTTACAGAACAACTGGCCTGCAAGCATCTGAGTAGATCTCGGGCCGATGAGACATACACTATCACTCAGAACTATTAATCAAGAACAGTCATGATGTTGGTGTTTTGTGTAGATGAGCCACTTGATATTGTTGAGTGCTTTTGACTACTGTATTACTGTCAACATCGTTTCTAGCAGGGAGACCTTCACAATGAACCTACTGCCGACGAAAGTGATGCTTAACGAAGAGTGGACTATTGGACGTTTCATTCTGTCGTTTGTTTGGCGACTGAGCAGTTGTAAAGTAACTACCGAGAACAGAGACTAGGATGTTTGCGTTACACTGAAGGGATGTTGAAAATCTACTGGAAAAGGTGGAATACTGTGGCGATATTTTTTCAAAACAGTAGTCTATATCAGTATGTGCGGTACTAGTGCTGGAAGTGTGTGAAAAATGTGCTACCAGAACCATATCTTTTGACTTACAATTTCAGTGCGAGAGGAATTATGAGCACTTATTCGTGTATGATTAGTTGTTGTAGTAGTGTATTTTGATGAAACCCATACCATATGTAGCTAGACGAGTCAGTCAAATATTTCATCTATTTATGTATGTATGACCTAGTTTCAACAATTGTTTTCATTCATTAGACCTGAAAAATCGTAACTATACATACGATTTCATGCATGTCTATGTTCAAACAAGTTTCGTCTAAAACACATATTAGCACAGAGCGAATAAAAGTTTTTTTAATCTTCTATTTGTGATTACAGCATGATTCCACACTGTATTTTTGGTACATGTATGGAATTTTCAGCATGTGATATCGGTAGCCCAAATTTTGCAGGCCGACCATAGATATCAGGTGTACGTTGGAAGGGGATCGAACCTCGGACCATGTGCATGGTCAGCGAGAGTCTTAACCACTGTGCCACCGCCACAGTTTGAAAAGTTTGCAATGACTGATGGGTATCAATCAAAAAACAGTGAAAGTTTAATTAGATGCGAGCATTTATAAACAAGGAGTTGTGTGATGAGACAAACAAGATGGTCAAAGAGTGAATTATTGTCAAAATGAACATGGAAAGACAAGAGTGTTGAAATTACACTAGAATGGAGAGGGTAAGAGAAGCATATTTCGGTTCGTGCAATATATTCTCTCCAGGGGTTCTGAGGCAGCTAAGAAAAAAACATGTACAGAATTCAATGGATGCGTTCTATTGCATGGCATTCTTGCTAACTGCGTACCCGCTAATCACATCTTCCAGGCTATGGACAGGTACCAGTAGTTTGTAAAACAGAACGACTCGTCACATAATCCATTGTTTGTGAAAAGAAGGAGTATAATGATTTTGGTTAAGAAATTTCAACTCATTTGTAAACGTCCTTTACATTTGATGCACCAGGAAAACTACTATTTTACAACATTTCCTCAAGTAAACTATTGCCTTGAAAACATTCATTTCTTGTCCAGTCATGTATTATTGGGCTGCGTGATACTATCACATCAGTAATGACTTAATCTTTTCCGAAATTAATGCGTGGTAAGTGGCCAGAGCTAATCTTTGGCGATGTTAAACATGCTAATGAAGGCCAATTAATACGGTCATATAATGGACTGGATGAGGTACGAAACCTTTGGATCTATGTGCACTTCGTTCCGGTTTCGTCAAAATTGTATTTAAACATTACTGGTGTTCATCAAGAAATAGGAAATGTAGGTCCTGTGGCACACGTTGATCAACTCGACCTGACATTTACTGTCAGAGCTGTGAAAATAGTCTATTTCACGGTCTTATTATGCTCGACTGAATGACTCAGTTGGATTGATTAAGTCTGTATAACTCTCTTTGTAACTCCATAATGATGAATATTGTGATTTATTTGAAGGCTGTTCAACATCGAATCCGTCAAAATGAAGCATGACGTGTTCAGCATTTAACTTTCAATCAACGAGTTACACGCTTAAGGGTGTAAGAGTATAAGTTCACAAGATTAAATATCTCGTATTAGGCGGGGATCAACTGACAGGACATTTATTATTTTTGCCTAACGATCATACATGTGTGTAATGGCGTTCACTATTGTTGTGGTTTTAGCGGATATATGAACACTGAGTGCGATAAAGGACAAGTAGTGAAGTTTAGTGTCTCAGCTGTTAATGCAACTCCGAGTTCACATCATTTTGTCAGTGTTCTGATTACTTTGAGTAACATAAATAGTGGTTGTGTGACGATGTGAATTATGATTACTTGTGTTTGACACGTAGTTTGTTTTCATTTGAACGTTTTGTGAGTGAAGACAACAACATTTGCAGCATATGCAAGTATTGTTAACTGGATAATTGTTAGTGTGATGGATGCTTATTGTGTTTAGTCGACACGTTCCATGACCTATATAGGGGTCATTAAAGTGGTGAAGGTATGACTTGTTCATCAGTATTGCATGAGAACTAAATGTCACAGTGCATGAAGTTGATGGAAACGTGACATTTGATTTTTGCATGTGTACGATGTCTCACAGACAAATATCTCAACGCACATTATGAATGACTCACAGGATAAATGTCATATACATCTTAGGATACCATATGCATGGGTAGATGTTCACTGTTGATAAAGAATACCACACTGATTTTCATGTCTGAATGAGAGTTTCGTGTGGTGTTTAGGAATCATGATGTTTGAACAGCGTCATTCGATATTGACTGTGAGGAAGCCAGTGATACTCGAAAGTGTTCAGTTCTATTTGGAAGTGTAAACTACTTGACATCTTCAATCTCGCTTATTTCTCTTATTCATTACATATGCATTGCGAATTATGGTGAGGTTCTGTTAACTATCGTAACATCTCCTTTGAACTCGATGTCAATCAGCATTGACCACTATCTCGACAGCCGCCGTCGATTGTATCCCCACTGCGAAATTTCACTCCCGACCTCAACGTTTTAATGTGTTTCTAACATAAAAATATCAGGCATTCTGTAATTTGTTTCCAAACTTACATTTAAATGGAGCCTGATCTTTTTTGTTTCGTTTAATTACCTAATACAGTTCATTTTCTAATACCCAGAAGCGTAGCGCGTGATTAGTCAAATTACTTTTTCACACGCCCTCAAAATATTCAACTAATATCTCTTTCAGCCTCATGACCACAAAGATAGCTTAATAATCATCCATTATCTTGTCACTGTTGCATGAGGGTGACTGTATTAAAGCTTAAACTATACTCACTGAAGTTATAAAAAACTTTTTATTTGTATGTCTAAAGCATTATATATTAAGAGCACCTTCAGTTGACAGGTGGGACGTGTTTCAATTGAATAAGTATTGTTTGTTATATTTATTGTAATTATGTTTAATTTAACCTGAGAATGATTGAGTGGATGTGATCAGAGTTTAAAATATGGTTGTATTGTGATTTACTAGTATCCAGGTTTAAAAGATTATCTTTCATCATATTTAGATGTGCTATGAACTCATGATATAATCAAAATAAAAAATGAAATAATGTGCACGAGTGTGTCCCTGTAGTGTAATGCGAACAAATCGAGGGAATTGGATAGATGTTAATGGCTTCACATGTAGACTGACCAGAAGTCATTAGAACCACCATGAAGTGGTTGGTGCCAATCGGTAGGTAGTAGTGGGGAAATCATCATCACC